CCTTACGTCAATTTTTTTGCCAAATACGGCAACATGCCAAATAGCCATGTGAAGTGCCACTATTAAACAACACGAAGCGCGAAGTCAAATGTTTATCTTAAGAATGTGGCGTTCGGAAATCACAATTCATAAGAGGTGAAACATGGTTTTATAAACAAAAAATGTTCCTCCGTAAATAATTATACAAGCAGTATTTTGTTAATTAACTGTTTTAAATTAATTAACACACTATTATTAATAAGTTTCAATACTTTTTCTTATTTTTACACACAGTAAAAGACTCTGCAACTACAATAATATCAATTTATAAACGTATCATTCCTTTTCATTCGTTCGTTTTAATATTGAGTCTCAAGGTTTGTTTACATATAGTTACAATATAGTATCGAGTACACGTGAGTAAGAGATAAGCATTCGTGCTGCCGATGCATGTAGCCACAGTTTGGTAAAAGTTTTCGCTTAGTTGACTCGATATGAATTCTTGACGCAATTGTTTATTATTCGTGCTCGGGGTACTGAGAGGTTTACAAAAAATTACCACGGATGTTTAAAGGTTCTTGAATTTCTAGTGGTGTTTCAATAGTGTATATTTGCATTTATTTATTTTAATAAGATTATTGGGGATATATTAGTTTTATTGTCATGGTATTTCCCCAATATTCTTGTTAGGATCGATTGTATAGACTTCATTGAAATGAGTTATTGTATCTTTAGGTATCGTAAATCATTTGTAAAATGTAAACTTACAAAAAAAAAGACCCTTGTTTTGTGCAGTAGGATTTATTTTTATTTTAATCACTATCAATAATACTTGTATACTATAGTATCATTTATTTAATAACAACACTAATATTTATCAAATCGTATAAACCTATCATACATTCCTATTAAAATTTAGAACATTGCTTGGTAATATAAACTACATATCACTATTCTATTCATGTAGGTATTTACCTACATGAATAGTATAGTGATATGTATAACCGTCATATTAAAATAGTAATATTCATATATTAGTTTAAATATTATAATATCACTTGGCAAATCCATTCACATTAACTAATACTGACAAATATTGATATTAACCAAAAAAATCTTTACTGTTAATGATATATTATGTCAGGATATATGTGTATAAAGCTATTGTATTACCTAATAATTCAATATTATTTATATATTAATATTGTAACACTAATAATTACTAGTTTCTTGACTATTAATTATTGTTACAATTTTAATCATAACATATATTTAATGAGTAATTTTGTACCACAATTTTTTTTGCCCTGATAATTGTATACTGTGGCCCAAAGACATCTTCAATTACCTTCAGTCAAGTGTCAAACTGTCAATGTGTTGTCACCCCCGAAGACTGCCTTGTTTCCAGTAAAAAAGGTCTCTGGGTCTCCATACTGACCATATGAAACACAGCAGCATTAAGCCGCTACTTTTGCTACTCATTAGTGCTACAACTATAAGATACCTGTAGTGTGGCTCAACCATGTAAAAACTGTATTTTATAAAATAGTAATAACATAGTTTGAAGCTACAATTTGTATCTGTTGTTTACAAACTAATTTACTTTAGCAATATAGCTTCTCTTAATAGAATTCGGCCAAAGTCAAATCTTTCAGCACTCATTTGAATGCCAACATTTACAACCAACAAATAACTAATTGATAGAATCAGGCGTTACTTTGCGGAAATCCATTATAATAAAGATATTGATTAATTTGCAACCTTTCGCTAACTAAATACAATGATGTGTCTTACCTGGATTGAAGAGCACCTCCCACTCTCCCTCAATTGCGTGCACTAATTTCATCACCACTAGTCTCAGCACCACTACTCCCAACACTACTCCCGGCACCACTACTTCCAACACCACTATTCCAGGTAAAACACACCATCGACGATAATACGACACGTGTTTCGCCTCTACACGAGGCATCCTCAGGTGATGTACACTCTACGGTGCAGACCACTAGTGGTCAGCGCCGTACGACGGAATTAGTGCACGCAATTGAGGGACGCGGGAGGCGCTCTTCAATCTAGGTAAGACACATCATTGTATTTAGTTAGCGGAAGGTTGCAAATTAATCAATATTTTTACAATAAATAACAATCAGTGAAACTCCCCCTGATTGAACTATCTACCTATTGTTGTGTATAGTATTATCTGCTTCATTTTTCAGATAAAGTTAACATTTATCACAATTATTGTAAAAAAAGGTAGCATTTGGATCACACTTACTGTATACCAGAAGTTGTAGAATAACACCTTTAGCCTTTAAATACAGACAACATTGGTAAGTTTCTGTTTAATTCATTCTAATAATTGTTTAAAAAGTTATTAAATATTCTAATTCTATACAACAATATATTATATTGCTTATTTGACATCCATAAATGTTTAAATATTACCATCATATAATTTATCACTGATGCCGCAAAGGGGTGAACCTCAAATGGGAAAAAATTACACGAGCAAGAAAACATTTATTATCCCCTGATTACTAGCTTGTTTTCATCAGGAAATTAATTGTATTTGCAATTTTTCTTTAAATATTTTTAATTTAAAAGAAATTGAGGTTCGCGCCTTTGCAGTGTCAGCCACGAATTACAGCACAATTTGATGACATCACATGTGTAAAGATTTTAACTGTAGTGTTACTTACTTGGAGCTACGAATTTTTTCTCTGGGTTGCAATAATAGCTTTTCTTTTGAACCCTTATAATCTATATCTTAACTTTTGAACAATGTCCCTAATAACACTGTTAAAAATGACTTAATGCTGGTGGGAACTTAAATTTTATTGAATCTTGAATTTCTTAATTTAAAAAATAAATCAGAAATGGAAACAGATGTAAATTCATCATGAGATAATGAGAACCTAAACTTATCTTCCAAATCTAGATATGAAAGTGAAGCCATTAAAGTACCGACAGCTGGTAAGAAATTTAAATATTAATAATTATTAGCATTTGCATACCTGACAATAAATTCGTTGTAACACAGCAAAGGGGCGAAAATCAATTTTTAAAAAAATTGCAGGAAAGCGAGAATTTTTTTATTTTTTCCTGATTCCCATTTTCTTCTCAGAAAATTTAAAATATTAATTTTAATGGAAAGCTACAAAGAAAGTATTGTGATAATAGAACTAGACAGTAAATACAGCTTTAATGCATTACAGTCCTGAAATTACTATAAATACTCTAAACTCGAAAAAGATATACCTTATTGTCGCATTTTGTTTTGCCCAGGCTCTCTTTTTATCTACTGTTAGAGTTCTTACTAGTACCTACACATAAAACAATATTAATTGTAACTTTGGCATTAAAAATGTTAAAATGTGATTACTAAAGTCTTAGTACTTAGACATAGGTTTAGTACAACTGCTGATCATGAGGTCCTGGGTTCGAATCCTGGGTTGGGCCAAAAAAAAACAGTTAATGAGTTTTTCCATCAGAAATTCTCAGTAAACGAATGTTACCAGAGGGGATTGGTATGATAGATTCTGGCCCTATAGTGGCCAGAGCCGATCCTCTTTTGGTCTGTTCGTCTGCTGCATGATTGCCCCTTGATCCACTGTCCCTTTATCGGTAGCAGAGTCACATTGCTGTGTTTACATTTTACATTTTACACCTTAATTAGTACATTGTAACTCAGAGATTGTAAAGTAAAAAGATATTGCTATGGCTGTATTTTTTACTGCCCACCTGATGGTAAGTGGTTGCTGTGGCCCATACACATCCACAGCTATCTTTGATAATGAATCAAAATGCAAATGCATCACCCGTGACGGCTAAGATGGAATGCTACATTTGAAGTAAAAAGAGTCTTCGGTTCTCTACACTCACCAAAGGAGACACAGCGGCGTTATGCTGCTATTTGACACTGGTATTCTGTGAGAGTGTGTTCCTTCCTCGGTCGAGCCAACCCATTCGTGCTACAACCATAATATAGTTGCAACCTGGCTCGACCACGTACAAAATGCTCTTATGAGACCCATACATTCTGTCTGAAAAACTTAAAGTTCTAGATTCTGTATATCTTAATTTGTTTTGAAACCATCTATGAAAATTCTGAGTTCTTTTGAGTGGTTATTTTCATTTTATAGTATCTTGTATTTCTTATCAAACACAAATTGTTTTTGGCTGCTATTGGTATAGTTCTTATGCAGCCCATGGCAGCCATACATGCCAGTCTCTGGTAACGCTGTGGCTTCTCAATGGTGGTACTTTCATTTGTTTTGGTTCACCATACTCATTTATTTAAGGAGTGTTACTACAGAATCTTCCACAACCCTTTGATTGTCTGCACCTAAATCTCCATCGGGAAGTCTAGCTAATATTTCATGTACATTTAAAGGGCTAATCCCTGTTTTCGTAAATTCAGCAATAATATTCCTTGAAGCATTTATATTAAGCTCATCAATTAACAATTTTAATAGTTTTGGAAAGCAACCTTTTGGAATCGTGGGTAATTGTCGACCATCTGTCTTTTTCCATTTTAATAATAATTGTCTCCAGGCACGCTTCATTGGACGAAAAAATGCTACGTCCACCGGTTGCGTCAGGTGAGTGGTAAGAATACAAAATCGATATTGTGCTCTTTACATGTTTGGATCAAATCTGCTGATAAATGTGAAGACAGATTGTTTCCAATTAAGCACTTTTTGTTTGGTAAATCCTTAAGATAAGGGACCACCATATTTTGCACCCAGTCCTCAAAAGTGGTTCCATGAAACCATCCAGATGTCGACCTGTTATATTGAATACCGTCAGGACCTTGTAGGACCCAGGAATCATATAAATGGGTTTCTTTGTATACTACATATGGCGGTAACATTTTACCATCTGCGGTACCAGCCATCATAATAGATACGGAAGCCTTGGTACGGCTTAAAACCCTTTCAGGGTACTTGCACCCCCGCTTGACCAATATTTTCTTCCGCCCAGGGTCGTCCGACGAATTTGTCTCGTCATAATTTAAAATGTTAGAAGTAAACTCCACTTAAAGATTTCTCAAGTTCGATGAAATGTTCTTTAATCGTATCTGGAGATACCTTAGCTCTCACATGCTTGATATTTTCACAAACTCTTTGAGAAATGTCATTTTTGTGTCTTAATAGGAAGCTCTGCACAAAATCCGGTCCTGGAAAATTATTTTTAAATCTTTTATGGACCATTCTTATCTTATCAAGATACATTTTTATTATGTATCTGAGATCCATAGTATCTAGGGGATAACCCCATTCTGCGCATTTGTTTATGTTTTCTATTATGAACACTTTAGTCTCATCGGACAAAGCTCTTTGGCCTCCTTGTCGCTTCATATCCCTGGTACTGTGACGATACAACACCGATTTGTGTATGCCATATTTTTTAGCAACTTCTTCTAATTTTACATTTCGAGAAGTTACATACGCTTCCACAGCTTTTTTTATTATTTTAGTGTCATATTTTTATACCTTTTCCTTGTAGGATCGGGACTGTATACACGCGGCATGTTGAATATACCTACGGCGGTATGTACCTGTAAATCAAAATTATATAACTTTAAAAATATTATTTATTCATCAATCACTAAATCCACAGCTCTAAGATACTACCTATATATTATGGACTTACTATTTATTAATACTATAAAACTATGAAGGTAGTTATTTAGTTATGTTAACAGTTTTTGACAACCATATTTATTTATCTCTATTGACCCCTCATTAGTTTCTATTCACACAATAAGCGTTTCTATTATTCCCTACTAGGTTTCCATTAAACCCATATTACTGTTCTATTCCCCCTTCAACAGATTCTATTACCCCCCCCTTTTTTAAATCTTTATTGAGAAATAGACGATTTGATCAAGCATGATCATGCCAATCAACATGATAATTAAAATATACACAATTTAATATTCTTATCTACGTTTTAAGGCACAATCAACCATTATGTATATGAATCTCGCTTTCTCTGATAAGGGAGTAGCAAGAATACTATTACAAACACCAATGTCATGCAAGCTAATGCCGTAAGCAAACACAAAGGATATCCTCTCAGCTTCGTTCCAGGCACATTCCACTAAAATCTAAACATCAACATCTTCAATGAGATCACAGTCAGTAAGCAAAACTATTCAGTGGGATATGTCCGGAGCGCAGTCTCATAGCAGTTACAATGTTGTGTCTCGACAAATTGGAATTAATAAACCAAGGATAACGGGACAAATTATTTTGGATTGTTTTATATCATATGCCTTTTACTCGAAATTGCTCATCAAAATATTCGTTCCACATGTTTCTACATTTATTTTAATCATATGAAAAAGGTCGGTATAATACGGCAAAGAAACTGAAGGGATACCCTCAGACAAGGCCTGTCTAGCGAGATAGTCTGCCTCTTCATTTCCTGTCAGGCCTATGTGTGAAGGTGTCCATTGTAAAACTATTGTGTAATTTTTTGTGGCTAGAGAGGAAAGTGACTCCAAGATACTGTATGCTATCGGTGTGCCTCGACTATTTAAAGTGCATCGAGCAATGTGTTGTAGTGCACTCTTGGAATCCGTTAAAACGACGTATTTGCCCGATTAAAAAGATTGAACATAAGAAATTGCTTCTAATATTGCTATCAATTCTAACAACATTATGGAGACATTAGATTCAATACGTAGTTTCACTGAACTACCCACTTGCCGGTCATAAATAGCTGGACCGCCACAATTACTTTCCTTTGAACCATCCGTATAAATTTTGTAATAACTTGAATATGTATTTTTAATAAAACTGTTACACAGTTGTTGTAATGTCAAGGAATTATAACTTCTTTTAGCGTTACTTACGGCATCTATGTGAAACTTAATTATATTCGAAATATTCACATTGCTGACCCAGGTATCAAGTGTGAACATATCTAATTGTGTACTAATATGTACAGCAGTATATTTAAGGTAACTGTGAACTAAAATTAAAAGGGGCTTTTCTTTGCACCTCCAATAAGAATTTTGACTTAAAAGAATTAGGTCGTCCAAAATGGGAATAATCTTGTGGTTAGAAAAGGATTTCGCCTTTAACCAATACTTAACGGCTAGATAATGTCTTAAAGGCGGTAGGTGTAGTTTGCACTCCATGACGTGTATAGGTGTTGTTTTAATAAAACCACCGATTACCCGCACACACTGATTCTGAATTTTATCTAGCTTGCTTGTGTGTGTCTTGCAACTACTACCATAAAGGAAACTTGCGTAATCTAATCTGCTACGAATACACGATATGTATAGACGCCTTAAATGAGTTGGGTGAATGCCCCAACCTGTCCCTGCTAAAATTTTGAAAACATTAATAATAATAATAATAAATCCTTTATTTCGACCAACAATAGTCATAGATTGTTAGTAAAACAAACCTTAACTTAATGTTAGTTATAAAATAAAATATAAATTAATATTAAATATTAAAATGTTAGTAACAATGGTACTTATCCTGTATTAGTAACTTAACCTACACCCAGCCTCACATAGCGAAACCCAGTTGAGGTTCTTCTGGTGCTGGTGTGTGCACCATTCCAAATTCTCCAGAGAGGGCTATCCAGCTTCACAGCCAATGTGCTGAGAAGGGTGTTGGAGCTCCTTAATAACCTGCTCATCATGGACGCAGCACGCTTGCGCATGGTCGCGTAGAAGTCGTCCACACGAGCATCCGCAAACATTGCCGACGCACTACAGTGTCGAGGCCTCCTCAACATTATCCTCAGCACATTGTTGTACTGAACACGCAGAGCACTGTAGGCTCGCTGCGTATAGTTAGTCCACAGACTGCACGTGTAAAAGGATTGGCAATATGCCTTGAACAATGTTAACTTGACTTGTGTCGTACTACGTGCAAATCTGCGAGCCAACATATTGCCCCGAACCGACAGCGCTCGGCGCTCTCGTTCAATGTCGCTGTCGTCATCCAGGCGTTCAGTTACAATGTGTCCGAGGTACCTAAACTCAGCCACTTGTCTCAGAGCCGTGCCACATAGCTGGATACGTGGTTACGTGGTTTGAAGTCAAGTGGTTTGTTTTTACCTCTGAAGACAATAAATTCACTCTTTTTTGAGTTGTAGATGAGTCCAGTCTCCTCGGCATATTCTTCACAAATTCTCAACAGTTTACGAAGCCCTCTGACTGAGGGGCTCAACAGAACCATGTCGTCTGCGTAACTAAAGTTATTCAGCGACACACCGTCTATTGAGCAACCGACACCTGCTCTGCTGAGCCTCTCAATCAGTCTGTTAATATAAAGATTAAACAGCCTGGGTGACGTCAGTCCTCCCTGCCTCACTCCGCACTCTAGTTTATAGGGGTCATTAAAGGCGTTACCCCATCTAACTGTGTTAGTCTGATTACCGTACCAATATTCCAGCAGTGAAATCAACTCCGGTCTTAAACTACTTTCCTGTTTTAGTTTCCGCCATAGGATTCTGTAAGACACACGGTCGAAGGCTTTAGACAAATCCAGGAAACACGCATACACCTGAGTCTTTCTGTCCGTGTAGTACCGCACAGTCTGCTTGAGACACAGTATTGCGCTCTCCGTTGACAGTTCTGGCCTAAACCCGAACTATGTAACATTACTGCCTTACTTAACTGTATATCAAGCAGACTATCCAGAACTTTACCCGAGATGGTCGCTAATGATATCGGCCTGTAGTTGGTTTCATCCGCTGCATCGCCCGTCCTATTCTTAAGGATAGGTACAACCACTGTCCTCATCATTGTATCAGGCAAGTAACCATGACTATTACATAGGTTGTAGAGTAGTTTGAGGACTCTGTAAAGGTGCACACCCGCATATCTGAGGTGTTCGACGCTGAGACCATCGTGACCTGGTGATTTCCCACTCTTCATATTGTTTATAGCTGATTTAACTTCGGCGATTGTGAAGCGCAGCGGGCTATCCCCCATAATCACACTGTCCCTTGCGTCACCATCATTCACCATATAACTAACGCTGCACGGTTCCACCTTAAACTGCGACATGAATAGGTTCGCTATATTCCGACATCCACTCATGGTTCCCACTTGAGCTGAGAGACTCGACCTTGGACTCAGTCTGTTCGTGTGCTGCCAGAATTTACCAAATTGCTTAGCCTCACACGAGGATGCCAGTATATCCATTTTAATTTGTTCTTCATTATCCTGGCACCATTTGAGTTTGCTTTTAAAAGCCTTACGTGACTCTTTCATATCCTCGTATACTGCCCCACACGTTGGCTTTCCAACGTGTACCCACGACTGAAAACAGAGACGAGCTCTGTCGTGAGCCGGCCTCACATGCGTGTTCCATCCCACTATCTGTCGCGTTTTGTTACGCTGTACACTCTTATGACTATAAATTGCAGCATCCTGCAATATAACTATAATATTCTCGTATAATTTATTTATAATTAATTTATGCTTAGATTTATCACAGAATTTATCACAACAATTATTTAACTCTACAGGAAAATCTACTAATCTTAATCTATTATTACAATATACTGAATATAGGTTAACCTGTTGACTATCCCTGTGCCCCCCAAATTACCCTATTTGTACTTTTAGACTGGTGGCTGTACCTGCGAGAAACCTAAACTAATTTTACAGTCCACTTCCAAGGGATAGTGATCAGACCACGTCACATCGTTTCTTCCGTGTATGCTTTCAATATATTTATTAGCCATACACGTTACAAGGCAATGGTCCAAACATCGTGAGCAGCCACGAGCGTCACTGGTGTATGTGTACACATTAGATTTTCTTGACATCATTTCAAAAAAAAAACTAAGCATTTCATTAAAAAACAGCTCCTCCGGGTGTGCGTTAAAGTCGCCTAACATAAAAACTATACTAATGTCACATTCCTCGATAATTGCGTTAATTTCACTTAGGCATTCTGTGAATTCCGCAAGGTTCTCGACACAGTCTGTCGGCATATAGACGGAAAAAATAAACATAGCTTGTTCACGTACTTGACACTTAATCGCACACAGCCTCACACTATTACATTTTATTACAGACACCGAAGAAAACACATTCTTACGCCATAACAGCGCAACACCCCCGTGTGGTCGCCCACGCAAAATGCCCGCGGCTGAATCTACAGCAGTAGTACCCGTGGTTTCAAAGTCTTCGTGAACGGTGCTGAGGTATGAGAGGTCGTGGTCCATTAGCCAGGTCTCCTGCAATGCTACTACCGAGGCACCCTCACACAACACCCTCACCACGCTACCGACGCTTCAGGGACTTACAATTAAAGCTAACAAGCTTTAATGTCCGACGTTCATGACTATTTTTGTCCTGATCCATTATTTATCTTGTTCTTTTGATCCAACAGTGTCTTTTTCACATTTCTAAATATTATGAATCGTCTAAAATATATGCCTTCCGGCCATAATTTATCGTCACTAAATAAGGACAACTTACTCCTAGGTATATAGAATTTAAAAGAAATATAATCCCTTGAAGATTTCATATGTACTTTTTCTGGCACAATACGAATATGTATCTTTTCGAATACATAATCCGCAACATCTTGCTCTGTATTCTCCTTTGAGACATTATAAATGAAAAGCGGGATTTGTACATCGGCTGCCCTTAATTTAAGTGCCGGATCTATCGAAGCCTTTCCCCGCATGCCTTTAAAACGTGACGTCTTACGCCTTACGACCTGAACCCATTCTCCTTCACAATTATTTTGTATCTCGGCTTCCCCATCACCGCCCGTTATGATCTCGCGTGACACCGCCGCAACCGCTGGCAGCGAAGACGGCGACGGCGGCGCGCGCGCCACCGCTTCGACGTTCGGCACGTGCGAAGTGCATTCTTGATCTCCGCAGTGGGCCTCCTTTTCGCGGTGGGCCTCCACGTGTTGCCGTTTCTGCCCGGGAGCGACAGAGAGCGGCTCACCGGTTGCCACCGCCGCAGCTCTCGCGTAGGAAGGAGATGCGTGCGCAATAACTCGTTCTTGCATAAATATGCTCGGCGGTGTATCATTTCCTAGGTCGGTCATTAACCCCATAGGCCCGCTTGTTGAGTCATAACTATCTTGCAGGCAAAAGCCGCCCCTCCTGTTATTCACACAAGGCTTCATTTTCCTCGTTTCTCCATACAATGTATCCAGATTGTTTTCTTTGTCAACATATTTTTCAAAATCTTTTTTTGTCATATATTCGTCCTGTTTCCCTTGTAGGTCACGTACCTGAGTCTGAAGCAAAAGAATATCCTTCAATAGACGCGTAGCGTCGACATGGTCAAATGTAACGGGTGGCAACTTATGTAGATCTTTTGCCACAAATATAGGAATGTCATCGGGCTCAGCACTTCTTAATACCCCAATAATGTCATCTATATTTTTCTGTTTCCGATCTTCACCCTTCCGTTTAACAAGTCGTTGCGGAATCGACTCGAACCGCAAACACTTTGCCTCGTAAATCTCCTCCTCATCAAAGGACTGCTTGCATAACAGTGCCAAACTAACATTGTTCATGACGTCTAGTTTATTTTGGCAAAAACATAACACCTCATTTATCACAATCTGACAACTATTACACTTTAGTTTACTCATCTCGCTAGAGGTCATCAACCTCTGACCGACCGCGCGCGCTGCCAGCTGACGACCGATTAAACACTTTTGAGGATTTTTCTTTTAGTTCATTTATTTGTTTAGACCATCGTAACTTCCTGTCTAACCAAATACCTAAATATTTTACACAATCAACTACTTCTAAAGAAATGCGACTAACAAATATAGATACAGGGTCCCGTACAAATTTATTTTGGAAAATACAAATTTTACTTTTGAGAGCTAAAATTTCTAACCCAGCAAGAGAAAGAAAACTAACAAATTGATTTAAAGCTAATTGTAATTGGTTTCTACCTTCTATATTACTACAGGTGACATATAGAACGAAGTCATCTGCGTACTATATACGTACGTATATAAATACATTATTTAATGACTTGCAAATCTCCATTGTTAAGATATTAAATAAAAGCGGGGAAAATGGATCGCCTTGAGCTAAACCGAAACAACATTTCCTTCTTATTACTGAGTTATTATCTGTCTCAATACTTAGGTTTCTCTCTTTTAAAAAATTCCGTAGGTATGTATATATTTTATAACCTATCCCTATAGTATCTAAAATATCTAATAAACGTTCTAAATTTACATTGTTGTATGCACTGTCAATGTCAACAAAGCAAGCAATCGTTGATTGTTTTTTCGAAAATCCTAGTTGGACTCTTGACACAAAAGTAGATAAATTATCTAAAATGGAGCGCCCTTTGCGAAAACCTATAGTATCGGCCGATAACATGTTCTCTTTGTGTGTTCATCTTATGTTCGACATACCATTCTACTATTTTAATCAATATATTATGTAGTATTTTACATACACAGAAAATCATAGATATAGGTCGTCAAGAAGTCAGATTGAGGATCTCGGCCGGGCTTTGGTTTCGGTATAGGTATTATGGTGATATTACGCCACTGCTGGGGAACAAAACCCGTTTCATATATGTATAGCATTGAATAGGAAATATTATCACTACCAGGAGAAGTGTCTTTAGTGCGCAAGCTATTGTCCAATTCGTGTCGAGATATCTGTGTCTCAATCTTAGGGTCATTTGAATTAAATATCGGGTCCTCAGTACAAACGAAATCCGGTGCCAGGCTTTGTAATAATCCAAGCGTCTTCTAATACCAGATCGCGGTACATAGCATCCCTTAAACCATTTCATTTTCTTCCATAAAACAGTATGAGATGTCGTCCCGTCTAATGAAGTGCAGAAGTCTTGAAAACTCTTACTTTTTGCTATACGAAGACTTCTCTGGCATTCCCTAATTTTCTCCTGTAAGTTGTCAAAATTAAAGGGCGTGGGGTTACGTCGAAATGTGGATAACGCTAACCGTCTTTCGGCTACTAACTTTGATAAGGAACTATTCCAGTAAGGTTTGGGAGTGAAATTTTTCTCGGGGTCAAAATTAATTTTAATATATGGAATGTGAATGTCTACAGCTATATTAATCAACTCGATAAATGAATCGTATGTTTTTTGTGATTCTTCCATGATAATAAAACCTTGCATAAGAGTTTCAATTAAGTTGCGGTACTTAGACCAATCGGCCTTTTTATAATTCCTGCGTACCGTGGGTATAGGTAGACTATCTATCTGCATTGAAATTTTAATCACTAGATGATCGCTGCCAAACGTTTCATTAAGTGTGCCCCAATTAAATTTACACGCTATATCTGAGGAAGCCAGCGATATGTCCGGTGCAGATTGTACTGTATTATTCACTAATTTAATGCGAGTAGGGTTTCCATCATTCAATGTTAGGAGATCAGTATCTAAAAGTGCGTCATAAATCTGGGTACCTCTTTAGTCTAATTTATGAGACCAATTTGTGTGGTGTCCATTAAAATCGCCTAGAATAAACTACCTTATTGTTAAAACAAGAAAAATTTGTTCCCAATCACTTTGGCTCGTGTGAACTGACGGAGCACAATATAAGGACAATATATACTGAACATGCTCACAGTTGCAAATCTTAACACAAAATATCTCAGTCCCTGGGTTACAGCTTTCGAACGACACATAACTTGACTTAAGAGACCTGTGGACCAAGACCGCTACGCCACCATAACCGTCATCCCTATCCTTACGATATATCGTGTAACCATTTACCTTCAGCTGACTATCTCGTTCCAACCACGTTTCGCTGAGTGCAGTAATGTGAATTTTCAGTTGACTCAGAGATCGCTCTAAGGGTATTAATTTCGGGCTAATACTTTGACAATTCCATTGTGTAATATTTAACCTAACAGATTTCTGACTACGAGACATTGGAGGTAAAATAGTCAGCAATAATCTTACATAAAGGACACTTTGATACGAATTGTACACTCAATAAGATTAACCACTCTAAACAACACGTTAACAGTTAACACCCTATGTAGCTTGTCTTCCATCGTCAATTCCCTTAAAAATATAATTTCTTTAAGTCTCACTAATAGCTCGTCCAAACGAACACTGTCATTCTTTTTCTCTTCACCAGCAGCCGCACCAGGGGGCACTGTTGACTCACTATTCATTGTAGATGAGTTTATCGGGAGCTCCAACCTACAAGAAGCCGTGTCCCTCCTACGAGTACGTCGAAATCTCATTGAAGTATTGGCAGAAGTGTTTTTAACCTCATTTACATCCTCTTTATGCAATGTGATGTCAGTTTTAACTATCTCTGCAAATGTGGAGGTATCACGTTCTTGGAATCTACTCTCAGTTTGTGAGATCATGTTGGTAGAAGGGTTGGCAGACTGTTGTCGAAAGCTATCTTTTCCAAGCAAGGAAGCTGGGGGCGGTACATATACTGTTAAGGCTTTCCGTAAGTACAGTTAAATTCTACCATGATTTCTCTCAACCTCTTCTTCTTTAAAAAGGCTGGGCATGAAGCTTTATGCAAGGCCATATGGTTTCAACCACAGTTAACACATAACACATAACACATTTCTTTGTAGAGTGACCATATTTCCAGCATTTCGAGCATTGCGATATGGGAAATACATAAGGAGTAACTTTTATACCTAATCCATGAACGTATATGTACTGTGGAATAAATGAACCTTTAAAGCACACTTGTACCGCTTCACTTGGCTGCCAACCTTCTCCCTCTCTGTTTCGACGATTAAGCCGATGTACAGATATTATTTCTACGGGTTTCCTCGTCAGATAAATCAAGGTCAACGTCTTTAATGACGCCATAAGTTTTCATAGCCCTATATACCTTCCAACCTTTATCTTTGAATTCTTGACATTTTTCAATTTTATCGGCACTTAACTCGCTGCAGACTTTGATACAAATCTTGAAAGGGTTAATGTATTTTATTCTGATGATATCAACTATCCCACAAGCCTTCAGCATCTTAGCTAATGCAAATTGTTTGAGCAACTTTTCATTGCTAGATAAATACATCTCAATATCCGCCTTCAGTTGTGGTTTTAATCTTTTCTCTTTGCTTTTGACTAAATTCCATCCCTCATTATCATCATCATCCCCGACAAAATTGTCCCCCCTATCCCTTTTTTCTCTCCTAAATTGGTCTTCTTCCATTCCAGATTGTACTAAGTTCTCTTCTCTGTAAGGCTCTTTTTCCGCATCTGATACACTCAAAGAAATATTGTTCGCTATTATAACTGTATTCACATTCTCTAAATGCGAGTTGTTTACATTCATTAGTATTATACCACTCTAATGAATGTCTTCGTTATGAATGGGCCGCTCGCACATCGGCAACATAACGGTACTCCGCTATACAGGTAGCGAGGTGTAGCAGCGCGAACAACTTTAACAGCTAATAACGCAAAAATAATTGCTTATTTGCGAAACACGCGTCTCCCTCGCACGAATACCGCGACGAGACTGTATTAATCCCTTTTAAACAATACATTTACACGTACTGTGATTTTAACAAATTTTTGAAGTTTAATAACGGATTCTCACTTACCTTCACTGAATTTTTAAAAGGAGGATGGCCAAATTTCTATAGGAGCTGGACTTGACTTTTTTGTCATGTCACAACACAATCACGTTTAAAAATAATATCTAAATAGCCACGATTTTTTATAATAACGTCAACAATATTTTTAGGGCTGAATCAACAAATACCTTTTACTTTTTTTATTGGCCATTTTATTAAAATATAACATTGGTATGTCAAAATTACAATCAATACAAATAATATAAGATTACATTTCCAAACTATTGTTACTGGTGTATTAGGGGACATGGATTCACAAAATTATTTCCATCCACTTTTTTTCTTTTTGGAAAGAAGTCTCCTTGTTTGAGCAGAGGTTTTTTGAAATAGTATAAAATTATCGGTTGTCATACAGTGGTTGTAGAGTTTTTCTGCAGCTTTTCTCCTTTTAATCATAGTGGTGCACTCAGCATCCCACCATGGAGGGGAGGCAAGGCTCTTGCTGTAGGGTTTTTTGATTGGGATAAATAAGTCAGCTGCTTCAGTTATATATTGTACCAATAAAGAGTAAGAAGTTATTGGGTTGGTTGAGGAGTCAACCTGCATTTGGGTAAATTTAGAATCTAAGAATTTAGTGAAATTAGTGCAATCTGCATTTTGGAGCTTATATTTAAGGAGGGGCGTAGTGGATGGAAAAGGAATAACCGCATAGGGTTTGGTAATAAGAATGGGAAAGTGATCACTTCCATGTGTTTGATTGAGAGTTTTCCAAGAAAGCTGAGAGGCTAGACTAGAAGAGCAAGCTGTTAGGTCAACAGCAGACCTAGGGTCTAGTCCTGGATATACTCTATGAGTAGGGGAACCATTGTTGATGATGCAAGCATTGATATCTTCAAAAAATTGAATAAGTTCTGAAGAGTGTACATCACAAAAATGTGACCCCCAAGATACATGATGTGAATTAAAATCACCGGTAATAATAACCTTTTATTAGGGAGGTAACAAAGAAAAGAGAGAGGATAGTTCTTGAATTAAGTGAGTATTTGGATGAGGGATATATATTGAAATAATGTTGATTCCTGCAATTTTTGCAGCTACAGCATTGATATTTTGGCTATGAGGAGGGAGTGTAATTTGAGAAAAAGGTAGCGATTTTTTATGAGTAAGCAACAACCACCATAACCATCATTTCTATCTTCACGGAGGCAGGTAAAGCCTTGCAAGCGAAATTTGGAGCCAGGAAGGAACCATCTTTCAGAAATAGAAGCAACCGAGATTGAATGTTTATTTATTAGGAAGATGAGTTCTGATTTTTTAGGGTGCAAGCTTCTACAGTTCCACTGTAGAAGATGGAGGTCTTTTTTTGAGTCATTTATATTATCTATTAAACTAGCGAGATTAAAAAAAAAATTCTGCGACGTTGTTCGGTAGTGAGTCTGATATTTTCAAAATTAAATTATTGAGGAGAGAAATTAGGCACTCAACAAGATTTTCATTTGGAGATATTTGATTGTGTGTATTGGATAATGCGCATCCATTTGGAGTAGAGGATGGGCAGTCTGCAACTATTCTTTGATGGGCTTGTTGGTCATATCCCTTAGGGATTCCAGGGATGGGGCGGGGAGATTGGAGAACGGTTTTTCTATATGCCTGTGACATGATGGGGAGGTTTAAGGAGGTAGGAGAAGTAGGTGAAGGCTGAGTAGAGGCCACTTCAGAATATGATTTTTGAAGATTGTTCAAACGAATAGATGGGATTTTGGCTGACGCTTCTAAATAGGATACATTTTGTTCTGACATCATAACTTTGATAGATTTCTGTCTATGGTGTTCTGGACAATTTTTGTTATTAGCAAAGTGATTTTTGAGCATAACAGACAAGTGGCTTCGCTTTCAGGAACAGAACAACTTGCTGCAATATGTTCTTGGGCACAACGGAAGCAGCGTGGTTTAGAGCGGCATTGATCAGCTACGTGGCCAAATCGACAACACTGTTTACACTGGATGGTGGGGAGTTGATAAGTTTCAACAGAAAGGGATGTGTAGAATGCATATACGTATTTGGGGAGTATCTAGCCTTCAAATGTCAAAACAATAGATTGAGTAGGAACCCATATTGGGGATGATGACCCTTCAGTAAAAGTTTTTCTCTGAAGACGGCGAGCTTTTAGGATTTTACCACAACCAGGGGGAAGCTCAATAGCTTCTGCAAGTTCTTCCATTGACCAATCCACAGGGACACCGCGGATGACACCCATTCGAGAAACATTATAAGATGGAATAGTTGCAATCAATTTTTCTTTTGCGAGCATTGAATTATTAAGTAATTTGTTGGCCTCATCTGCTGAGCAGAATTCAATAGAGATGCGATTTCTACCAACACTTTTGACTCCTCCTTTTTTAATGTTTCCTATATTATTTTTAGACAAGCATAAACCTATTTTAATAGGTCGAAGTGATAGCCCTAATCTAGGGTCTGACGAAGACCGGGAGATGTGGACAATGAAAGGGCCTTGATCATTTGGCCCATACATTCTAAGATTTTGTTCTAGGCAGGGATATATAGTATTTATTGATGCTGTTAAATCAACTACAGAATTCTTTTTATATAATATTGGATCATATGTTCGAGTCTCAGCATGTCTTTTTTAAAAAAAATTCGTGGATCTCTTCCTTCTGATAGCAACATTTCTAATAACTCTCTATCATGGTTAGAAGTCTTCTCTGATATGCTAGCTCCTCCTTTTGGTGTGGTTCTCACCCCATGTGTCAAAAAATCCTATACAATGCCATCATCCGTAGTCACTTCGACTATGGTTCTTTTCTCTTGGAGCCCTGCAACAAATCGGCCCTTAGTAGGCTTGATGCTATCCAAACAAGATGTTTACGTATTATCAAAGGCGCAATGAAATCAACTCCTAAAAATGCCTTACAAGTAGAATGTGTTGATCCCCCTCTCTCTTTACGAAGACAGTTTCTAGCTGATAGATTTATCTCAAAAACTATACAACTAACATCTCACCCCTTACACCGTAAACTAGAATCCTTGCTACTATTAGTTGTAAACAACTCCCATTGGTCTAATAAAAGCTGGCCCCCTATTCTTAAATCTCTTAATAGATTAAAAAATATTGAGTATCCTTGTGTTACATCCCCAATTCTACCCTATTTTGAAACCACAGAACTCGGCTTTCTCATATGCGGTTTTAATTTTTTTCAACAAGTTGTTGCAAAAATTGCGATATCTCATGTAAGTAATATGTAATATTGCATTGTTTTTATCGTGTTTTGCTTTCTTGTGCAATTTGTCCCTGTGTCTTATACAGCGTACCAATCCTGGAGTTAGCCATGGCTTGATACATCGTTTACGGTGAGGAATTTTTATTTTATTGGAATGAGCAGTTATGGCATCAGTAATAGTTTTAGTCAAAGCGGTAGCTGCTTCATTGGCATCTTTGATATTGTATATAAAGCTAAAATCTGCATCAGATAATTGTTTTAATAGTGATGGATAATCAATTTTGAAAGTTGTGCTTTTGGATGGATACCTTATAATTTTGCAATCTAAGTGAAACACTATCGGAGCATGATCAGTAATAAACGAATCCAGTATATATGTTGCGGAATATCTATCTGATCTCAACATTACATGGTCAATACAACTTTCGTTACGAGTGGGGATTAAATGAGCTGCTAAATATCCATGGAGCGCCATTAAATCCAAATATTTACTGCTATTAAAGTCATTATTATTAGGAGAGATATTTATATTGATATCTCCAATCAAGATAACTGATTTCACAAAAGCTAAAGATGCAAGACAGAGATCAAGGCTATCAAAAAATTTATTGATATTTTTTTTGAAGGTGATCGATATATGGCTAAAATGGCATATTTATTTTCATAATTTACGATAAGACCATTCGCAGCAGAAATTAAAGGTTTATGTATACTATGCTTTATTTCAGATTTTATATATATCAGAACACCGTCGTTTTGGTTATTATACTCAGAAGAATAAGACGTATACCCAGCAATTACAGGTATAACTGATAATTTGCTTAGCCAGCATTCCGTCAGTACAAGGATGTCGCATTGAATACAAATTCTTTCCATTAGTATGGCATCAGACATCAAAATTACAAGTAACGCTGCGTATGTTAGTGTGAAACACTATCAAAGAATTTCTGGTCTGATTAATTTGATTAACTAGGTTTTCTGGAGTGCATATCATGGAATTGGAAACAAAAACTGAATCAATGTCATTAGAGATATTATCAAGTATAACTATTAATAAGAGAATATTCAAAGGCGCATATCGATGTTACATTCAATAGATTATTTATTATATAATCTTGTACTTTGAAGTCTGTTGAATTACGGTATTAGTGATATAAAGATTTAATGAATTAGGATGTAGGTTAGGTAGTGTAAGTGTGTGAGAGTAGTATATATTATTAAAAATTATACAATTAGGAAAAGCAATGATAAATGTTTGTGGTAATATGTAGTAAGTTTTTAAATCAACGTAAAGGAAAGGATACGAATAACTTAAACATTTGGAGAGTAATAAAATTATGTTAAAAATAATATATAAAAATCGAAGTAAATTGCTTAGTCACGAAGAAGATTGCGACTGCAATTGGTTTAGTTCATTTTCCGAATCAATCCGATGTGATGGAGCACCTTCTTTTTTACGGATGAAAACTTTCCCGTGAACAGTCCAGCAGTAGGCATAGGAGTTCCTTTTACTAAACTCACGAGCGAGGTAGAGCTTGTCTAAACTGAAATGACGCGCCCCACTACTTAATTAGTTGATTTCGATGTGTGAGTGTAAATATTAATAACGACGCTTCATCTGTGTTTGAGCGTCGACTGCTCCGCGAACTATGATCTGTATGCCTACGTGACGGTCGACTAGTCGCGTGATAAATCCGACAACGCTCTCCTTAGGGAGCAGCGTTGGGGCATTGTATGAAACAAAACGTCCGCTCTCTGCCACCTTCAGGCAATTATGACAAGTTGGACAAAAAAATCCAAGAAAATCCGCTTCTTAGCAAATACGGTCTACAAAGAAATTGAAGTTAAATTATTTAATTATGATGGTATTTCTTTTATTTGTTAATTAATGGTTCAAAATATATTGTTTTTATTTTGTAATTATGTAGATTAATTAAACCACATTGATATTCTTTCGAAATATTTATTTTACAAATTAGTATAATTACTATAATAATATGCATGTAAATTATGTAAAGTATCACTATTCACTCATCTCCTCATCTCCATAGATTCACTTTCATCTGAATCAGAGTCATTAACAGAAATAATAAATTCAAAGTCCATGTCAAAATATTGCAAATACTGTTTTTCTGTGTCTTCAACATGCCGACATGCATTTGCCCACATAGTACTATCAATCATTTCGAGTCGTTCATTTATAAGTGACATAATGGATGTACAATTTTGTGAAACATTTTTATTAGCCACGTAGTTTTTTAATATCCCCCATATATTTTTAATTGGATTTAGTTCCGGGTGATAAGGTGGTAGTCGTAGAATTTCAAACCCTTTTGATTGAATCAGTTCGTCAATAACGAACCTCTTGAATCTGTCCTTATTTTTTAAAATAAGATCGTACAGTTCAATTTTTTTCATTGATTCGTCAATCTGAATATTTTTTTCTGCAAGCCACGTTTGCATGACTCGCTTATTTGAGTTGGAGTTGGGAGCTTTTTTCTAATAAAGCATTGTGGTAAGAAGCGTTATCCACAACGATGACAGCCTTTACCGGGAGATTGGGCAGTAATTGTGTGGTGAGCCATTTCTTATAATTATCCAGATTCATGTTGTCGTGATAATCTCCACTTGTGTAGTTTGCTTTATACACCAAACTAGCATTTGGAACAAATCCTTCACATCCACCAGCGTGAACAATTATGACCCGAGTACCTTTCGACAACTTTTTTGCACTGCTGATACTCCTTTGACTGGTTTCCAGCACATGTTTTGCAGATGTGTTGTATGAACATAACTTTCATCTGTGTATACGATATAGCGGCCCTCGTCACGATATTTTTTTAATTGCCTCAAATATTGAAAGCGTAACATTTGGATATCATGCTTTTCTACTAAAGCTTTACGGTTGTCATCTATTTTGGACCACTCGTAGCCCGATTCCTTCAAAATGATACGCAGAGTTTCTATACAACCGTTAAAACCAATTCTTTCTGTTAATACTTGTTTCAGCTTTCTTAACGTCGGTAATTCATTAAATTCTGTATGAAATGTCGCTATCGTTCTGCGAAGTATACCCATATCAAAGTCATCCAGGTTAGACTTGGTACGCTTCCTTTTTTGGTTTTGAGGGCGATCTAAAAATTTTTTGTGACGTATCATTTGATGTACTAGCTTGCTTCTCTTCTTTCAAAATTCGTGTAATCATAGATTCACTAACACCAACGGCTTGAGCAGTTCGCCATCTAGCGTCAGATAGTTTTTCCACTCCATTTTCTGCTTCATATTTCATTCTGCGGTACACTTTCGCAGTAATTTCTTTTGCCTGTAAAATGTATGCATATAAACCACCATAAAAACGATGTATGATTAAATAAGATTTTAAGCAATAACGTATTATTTTACTTACTTGACTCCGTAAATGTTTTTTGGTCGACATGCTGACGGTACTTTTACAATCGAACGACGCGTGCTCCTACGCTTGAGTCTCACCGACAACCGAATGACCAATTACAATGGCATTTGTATATGTATTGCGTCCATATTTTAAATTTGCTTGTGTGCGTTAATGCGATAGTGGGGCACGTCATTTCAGCTTAGACGATCTATAGTATAGTTTTTTTTGCTTTTTGAGTCAGACATTCGGTTCCGAAAATTGGCTTTGCGAATCCTTCAAATTGCATATGTGTTTAGTTTTTCAGTATTATTAATCCGGTTATAATTTTTGACGGATGTTAAAATCTTTTCTTTTAAAATAGCAGTTGAAAAGTCTACTATTATCGGCCTATTCCCCCGTTTATCTTCATTCAAGCTAAATACATCGCGAATGAGAGAGTCCTCAATATGGGTGTTAGTAACTAGACCAACTTTTTTTACCATCTGTAACAAGTCATCTTTAGTCTCATTATGTTTAACAGGGATATTCTTTATCTCAATACTTGCCTGTTTTTGAAATCTCTCGAGATTCTCCACTTTTAATTCAAGGGTCTGAATATAGGCTAAATGCGTTTTTCTTTCAGTTTCCATTTTACACAATCGATCTTTGATTTCATCATACTGTTTTGAGATAAAGTCCATGGATTTAATAATATCCCCATTTTGTTTCTGGATGTCACTAATACTACTTAGAATTTTAACTTGTTGATTTTTGAGGGTATCAAAAGATTGTTTCATATCCGACATAAAAGCATATACCTCGTCATCATGTTGGCGCTTTCGGCCACGAGGTCGGCTAGCAACATTACTAGAGCTATCATTATCGGTATCTGTGGCCGTAGCAGCAGCTGAACTCTGATTCGTATCCCACTCCGGCTGTTGCGATGGAGGGGTCCTTTTAAGTGGCATTTTTTTAAATAATAATAAAAGTAAGTAAGCGCAAGACCTTTTAAGATTGACTGCTCAATTTGCGACTTACTAGGAGCACAGATTTAACTAAGCGATCGTTTTAAGATACGTAGCAGATTACTAACTTACGAATCACGTAGCGCGTAGCGATAGTAGGTGCTGTAGCATCTGTGGGGCGTGGCTTGCCGTAGCGGTCGTAGCAGACACATCCAGTTGCAAATTACTCTTTATAAAATTATGTTTTCCTGGTACTATGGCACTTATTTAAAATTTGAACTTATTTCAATCGCTTAAATTAAATGACTATTTAAATAACAAAATACACGTCTACACTCAATCACACCCAGGGGGGGAAGGGGATATAGAACGACGAGTGAACGCAGGAAACAGAGTAAATGGGGCCCTACACTCTATATTGAAGAGTCAAAACGTGTCAAAAAAGGCACGTATGGCAATTCACAATGCTGTGTTGGTCCCTACTTTAACGTATGGTAGTGAAAGTTGGGTGTGGCAGAAGAAGCACGAAAGTAGAATAAATGCAGTAGAAATGCGGTCGTTAAGGAGTATGTTAGGGCTGAATCTGAATGACAGGGTGAAAAATTGAGTGATAAGAGAAGAGTGTGGTTTGCAAGATGATGTTGTGACCAGGATTAAGAAAGGAATGCTTCGGTGGTTTGGTCATGTGGAAAGAATGGATGAGGAAAGAGTGACAAAGAAAATTTATGTTGCAGAAGTGAATGGCAGAGTCGGAAAGGGACGTCCTAGGCGAAAATTTATCGACCAAATTGGCGATTTATTGAAAACGGGCCAAATTAGGAGTACCCTTAACCGACGAGCATGCATGCGTAGGTGTATGGATCTGAAGGAGGCGAGAGAGGTGTGTCAGGATCGTGCCAAATGGAAGTCTGTAGTCTCTGCCCTACCCCTCTGGGTGACAGGCGTGAGTGTTTATGTATGTATGTAAAGAAAAAAATGGCTCATCACAAAATGAAAAATTGCTCTTCACACCTTAGTAAAAAAAACATTAATTGTAATTTTGTACTATTATTAAAAAAGGTACATAATTATTCATTAATCAACAATTGTATATAATTATTCGCGCTAGGTAAATAAGCCTTATAATATTAAAATCTTGGTCATGGAATAAATAAACATAATTGTTTACCAATCAATCAAAAATTCAATTCATCAATCAAAAATCAAAATTCATCATCATCGACGCTTTCCAAAATCCGAATGAGTTCTGAGGAATCGTTCATGTTGGTTTGCTCTACTTTTCTCGGTAATCACTTATGACATCATCAGGGTGTCGTCTATCCTTGATCACGGTGCCCAGTGAACTGATTTTCGATGACGCGCTAAAGATGCGCTAGAGTTGAGATATTAGATTTATTATGTGAAGATGTTCTGATAACATTTTTTTATTCATGTAGCTAATTATAGTTTTATGTTTCTAACCTTTAATTTTATTCAAATATCAATAATTATGGAAAAAAAAACACCATTGAGCTGAATTTTGGATAGTTTTCAAGAAATTTATGCCTCCCGCGTTTGACACTAGCGGTCAACCATAGACGACTTTGGCGTGCTGGACATAGTATTTGCTTAGATAAAAATCCATTTTTATTAGTTCAATGTTTCTTAGTACTTGCGGCTCTAGAAGACTTGTTTTTTATACTCACATGTTGCTGGGTTATTCCTATTTTGAGGAGTGTAGAATTAAAATACCTGTAATAATTTTCCAATATCTATATTTCATATTTTTGAGAGCCGGGTTTTTTGTCAACTATAGACGTCGTTGGTGCTCAGGGCCCGCAGGTCTCGGTCAAATATAGGCGACTTTGGCGCTCAAAAGGTTAAAGGATTCATGGTAAATCAGCTGGAAACTAACTTGTTTCGTTATCATAACATGATTCTATTTTAAATGTATTGTTATAAACAGATAAAAATAACTTAACCGATCTTCTTTGAAAACAGATAGGAATAACAGTTCTTATCTGTTTTCAAAGAAGATCGGTTAAGATTAACAGTTAAATTGTGCCGTAGCGTTTTGTTACTCTCTAAAGAATTCATTAGAAATCAGCTAGTAATTCGCTTGTTTAGTTATCATAACATAATAATTATTTAAAAATTATATTAGCACTGTAATGATGACACCGTAAATAATCGATCGACCGCTACCTTAAGGTAGCCGGACCAACTATGACATTGGGACGTCAAACAACTCAGTCCCCCCCCCGTGACCATGGGTACTGTAAAGCACCCGAAACGTCGGGATAATAATAAAAATAAATTAAAGTAATTAAACGCGATAAAATCCGTAAATAGTAGTTTTATTCAATCTGTAGTGTTCGCGTAAATTTAAGAAATCATTAATGCCCTTTTTGTTTAGCTGGGTGTTTATTAGACCCCACATGGTGCACGGAAGGTTAACCAAGAAGAGTTAGCAATGATTGCAATAGCGCTAGATGAAGAAGAAGCAGATGACCAAGAAGACTATCAGCAGGCAATAAATATTTGGGTATGTGAGATGTGGGAAGATAGAGAAACTGCAGGAGAATATCACACATTTATTTATTTATTTATTTAAAAACTTAAACGTAACACCTTAAGCTAAAGGGGTACATAGGGCGGACTTAATGCCATGTGGCATTCTCTGCCAGTCAACCCTGGGTGCCAAGGACAATTGTTGGCAGGTGCGACCATTATACGTAAATAATTACATTAAAATATATACATACAATAATACATACGTATATATATATATATATATATATATATATATATATATATATATATATAATATATATACATGCTTATAAACTTCGTAAATAAATATACAAATGAATGATATATATAATATGATGTTTGAATAATGTATAATGAAATAAATATCTGAAGTAAAAAAGAAGAAATAAAGACAAAAATTAAGGAAAATAATGTTAATTAGTAGTTTCCTTCAGGTAATGTTCTCGGAGAAGAACTTTGAAGACTTTTTTATTTGCGGCATTCTTAATATGGTTGGGGAGGATGTTCCAAAGTTGTATAGCTTGTATCGTAAAAGACGACCTAAAAAAATTTGAATTATGCTGTGGAAACCTTAACCTCAGACGGTTTGACTGTCGGGATGTTCGACCGTCGATCGGATGAAGAAAATGAAAATTATCCTTAAGATAAGAGGGCGACCTTGGATCGTTTAAAATTGAATAAAGTACAAGTAAAATTCTAGAGCATCGCCTTTGACGTATAGGTAGCCATTTAAGCTTTGAACGATAGGATGATATGTGGTCATACTTACGTAAACCAAAAATAAATCTTATGGAATTATTAAGAAGGCGCTCCAACTTGTTTAGAAGATTTTCTGATAGATCTGGGTAACATACATCGGCATAGTCGATAATAGGTAGAATAAGGGAATGAACCAGCGTAAGTTTGGTTTTGAAAGGTAGGAAATTTTTAAGACGATAAAGGGAACGCAAGGTGCAACAACTTTACGACTAACTTCAGAGATCTGCAATTTCCAGGTCATAGTTTTATCCATGTACAGGCCAAGATTTTTTATGGAATCACAATATGGAATCAAAATTCCATTATAAATTACAGGAGAGAGATTTACATAATCAACCTTAGCCAATAATTGCGAACTTCCGAATATGATAACTTTGCATTTGGCAGGATTAACAGAAACGCCATATTTACATGACCATTCTCTTATGGCTTCCAGGTTATCATTTAGTTTGTGTATTACAAAGTTAAGATTATTTAAGCTTGACTGTACATAAAGCTGGAGATCATCCGCATACAGATGGTACGAACAATCTAAAACTGAGGAGATAGAATTTATAAATAAGGAAAACATAATAGGAGAAAGTATTCCGCCTTGCGGCACACCAGATTCAATTTCAGCCCATGCAGAAAACCGCTGACCTGAGCGAACCGATTGCTGGCGACCGCGAATATAAGAAGAAAACCATTCCAAGGCTGGGGATGAAAATTTAAGATGTTTAAGGATGGATAGGAGGATACCATGATCCACTGTGTTGAAAGCGTTTGAAAAGTCAATAAGCACCACCACTGTTAATTTTTGCTCATCTAAGCCCTTTCTTATATCGTCTGTGACTTTGATAAGCGAAGTGGTAGTACTGTGACCTGAGCGAAACCCCCGATTGAAATTCATTCAGCAGGTTATGTTTTGCAGCGAATACAGATATTTGCTTAAAAACACAGGCTTCCAAAACTTTAGAGAGGTATGGGAGAATTGAAATAGGACGAAAATGGTTAGGGAAAACAGGATTAGGTATTTTAGGAAGAGGTCTTACAAAAGCCTTTTTCCATGCAGAAGGGTATTGACCTGAGTCCAGAGAATAATTTATAATGTGTGTTATAGCTGGAATAAGGTACTCAAGAATCATAGACACCATTTGCTTACTAATTTCATCAAACCCACAGCCTTGGATTTAATGGCTAACAGAGCTTTTTTAATTTCATCTTGAGTAACAGGGGAGAAACAAAAGTCAGGGATCCGGAGAGGCTGCATTGATTCTATAGAAGCAATAGTTTAAGAACGGACTTGAGGGTCCAATGAAGTAATAGAAACAAAGTGACGATTAATGTCATCCAAATTGAGAGAGGCGCCATATTCCGGAGAATTAGATTTATTAATTCCGATAGACTTCAGGAATTTCCACAAATCAGTGGGCGAAGAATTAGTTATTTTGTCATGAATGTAGCGGCGTTTAGCATTTCGTACCACCTGATTGCATCTGTTTCTTAGCGTTTTAAAGTTAGACCAATTTTTTTCTGAGCGATTCTTTTTAATCTTCTGGAAAGCCCGATCTCGTCGTGCCATTGCCACTTGTACCCCTTTATTCATCCAGGGAGCAGGAGGACGCTTAACTTTTACATAATGTACCGGAGCATGAATATTGTACAAGTTCAGGATGCTATTATTTAGAAAGGATATTTTATCATCGACGTTAGAAGCCGCCACCCAAGGGCCA